GCGGCAGGGAGTTGACTACTTTCAGACCTTCTCTCCCACCCCGAAGATGACCACTCTTCGGGTGCTGCTGCACATAGCCGCTCAGCGCGACTACGAGCTTCACTCTCTTGACTTCAACACGGCTTTCCTGCAGGGCAGCTTGCACGAGGAGATCTGGGTGCGCCGCCCACCTGGCTTCACTGGGTCGTTTCCTCTTAGGTACCCAGTGGAGCCTCCGACGACCAGTCTACGGTCTCCGCCAGGCGCCCCGTGAGTGGCACGACACACTGAGGACTACACTTGCGGCTCCTGGGTTTGCTCCTTCTACTGCCGACCCGTCGCTGTTTCTGCGCACCGACACATCTTTGCCGCCGTTCTACATCCTCGTGTACGTCGACGACTTGGTCTTTGCCACAGCTGACACTGCTGGACTAGCCCACGTGAAGTTTGAGCTGCAGAAGAGACACACGTGCACAGACCTGGGTGAACTGCGCAGCTACCTTGGCTTGCAGATCACCCGGGACAGAGCACGGCGCACCATTACCCTGACTCAGTCACACATGGTGCAGCAGGTCCTTCAGCGCTTCGACTTCACGTACTCCTCGCCTCAGGCCACTCCTCTGTCTACTCGCCACTCGTTCTCAGCTCTGCCTTTGGATGAGTCCGTAGAGCCGAGTGGCCCGTACCCAGAGCTTATTGGCTGCCTCATGTACCTGATGACCTGCACACGACCTGACCTTGCATACCCTCTTAGCTTTTTGGCACGCTATGTTGCTCCTGGCAGACACAGGCCAGAGCACATGGGTGCAGCGAAGAGGGTGTTGCGCTACTTGTGCAGTACGTCGGGGATGGGGCTAGTGCTTGGAGGGCGACGTCAAGTGGTCCTCACACGTCACGCTGACGCTTCTTGGGCTGACAACAAGGCTCTGCCGCGGTCGTCACAGGGTTACACCTTCAGCCTTGGCTCCGGCTCTGTTTCGTGGCGGTCTACCCGCTCGTCTTCTGTTCTCAGCTCCAGCTGTGAGGCTGAGATCTACGCAGGGGCCATGGCTGCACAAGAGCTACGCTGGCTCACCTACGTGCTGACTGACCTAGGAGAGCCGCCTCGTTCTCCTCCAGTTCTGTACGTAGACAACAAGGCCATGCTGGCCTTGTGTCGGGAGCACAGGCTGGAGCACAGAACGAAGCACATTGCTCTTCGCTACTTCCTTGCTTGTGAGCTGCAGTAGCGTGGTCAGCTGCGCCTTGCTTACGTGGCCTCTGAGGCCAACACTGCTGATATCTTTACCAAGGCACTTCCGCCTTGTGATCATCAGCGCTTGTGTACGATGTTACGTCTTGTGCCTACTTGGCCTCACTTGCTCATTTCTTGACCTTGCTTGTACTGTGATCTTTCTATACTCGCACTTGCTTGTTTGCCTTTATATATGATCTTGCATGTGAACTGGCCTTTTGGCCTTGCTCTTGTGCTCGTATTGTGTGGTGACTTTGTGATCCACCCTGAGCTTGCTTTGCTTTACTTGACTGGTCTTGTGACCTCTTGTTCTCCCCCTTTTTGCCTGTGGGGGTGTGTCAAACTCATATTATATAACTTGTGTAGGCTATAGTGGGGTGGATACTATGGGGTACAGTTTCCTAGGGTTTCCTACTTGTACCCAACTTTGTGCTAGTTCATTCATTCCTCAATTCTCACACAAACAGCATGGTTCATTGCGAACAGCTAAACCCTTGTTGGGATGCCAGAATGCTTCATCAAGGCCCTCATCCTTGTGGCGAGGCTCCTATTTGTCCGTTATGCTACTCCTTACTGCTCGTGTGCGCAGGGCAGGGACATCAGGTGGTCAATCCCCTTCTTGGCGAAGAGCTCCTTGAACTCGGTGGAGAAGTAGTCTAAACCCTCGTCTGTCTGGAAGCTTTTCAGCTTCAAGCCTAACTGGCGTTCGGCTTTCTTCATCAAGAATACAAAGCAGTCGAAGGCGTGTGAGCGGCAGTCGACATTGACAACCCAGATGCTGCGTGTGCTTGTGTCGATGAAGGTCATCGTGTAGTATTCCGCATCAAGCCCTTCTTGGCTAAGTATCATAAAGTCGTTGTAGACCTTCTCGAGCGGTTTCTACCGTTCGTAGCCTGGAGGAAAGTCTGGGAAGGGCTTGCAGGCGAGCGATGCGGTCGGACAGATGATGCACGGCAATTCGTCAGAAGTCGCTTTAAGCACGTCGCCACCAAGTAGAAGCAGTCAGTTTGTATCAACAACTTCGGCCTCGATGGAGTCCTTTTGTAATATTTATTCCTCTCCTCCTCCTCTCTTTGTGGTGCTACAGGTCCTTTGTCGGTGGCGGCACGTACGTTAGCTGTTAAGGCTTGGGTTGACGCCTGATGGAGTTTAGCATCAGAGGTGCCAGCGACGTCGTCTGTGTCCGCGATGTGAATTGAAACGTCGGTTATTGGTAGGAGCTCCTAAGTTGGAGGCGGTGCTGCTTCTGGCCATTCGGAGGTGGGGAGGACCTCCATTGGAACTCGGTGATAGAATGACCCATCGCCTGTGATCAAAATCAATTGAGGTCTTTGCTCCGGTGGTGATGCTTCCTCGGTAGGTTCGCTTGTAGCATCGGTCCGTAGTGTGACCCGGTTTCTTGCAGTATTTGAAGAAGAACCTCTTTTTCTCGTCGACTCCCTTTCAGCTGCACCAACGTAGAATGCTAACTTTTTCATTTTGCTGTTTTTTCTCATTGTACAGGTCGATCTCCTTTTGTTTGGAAAGGAGCATGGCAGAGAGTGCTGATTCGAAGATGGCTCCTCGAGCACAAAGCAAGGACTTGCAGTGTCGCCACTCTTGTCCTGGTTCAGAAAGGACTATGGTGACGAATATGTCATCGAAGACGTTTCCACCACACTTTTTGAATTGGTCGCGCAGATTTCGGCAGCGATTAATAAATGGTCCCGCTTTCTCCCCTTGAGTCATTTTAACTGATTTTTGTTGGCTGAGCAGGCGCCTCATGGTTACTCGATCTGTTGCCATATATGAGTTGTGCAGGTGCTCTCAACACACTTGGGCTGGAGCCCACTCCGTCTTGAAGGAACAGATGCCAAGGTGATCGGTGGGGAGGGACTTCGGAGAATGGCAGTGCATGCGAGGAGTGACTCGTGGTAGTACTGGTTCTTCTCCTGGGGAGTACCTTCCGTTGGGAAATGTAAGCTTCCGTCGTAATACATCCAGATCTACGCGGTTGTAGCGAGGAGTTTAAACTCGAAACTCCACGTGTAGAAATATTTTCTGTCGAACGCAGTTAAAGCCTTCAGCTTTGATGTCAGGTCGAATTTTGTTTGCATTCTCGCTATTGCTTTTGACTATGCGCGTCATTGTCGCTATTGCTTCTGACTATGCGCGTTGCTGACTGTCATACGCAAGAGCTGAAGCTTGACGGTTGTCAAAGGAGAAGGACCTCTCGGAGTTGACGCGACGGTCTTCTCCTGGGAGAGGTAGTCCTGCAACTCCTCTTGCGTAGCTTGAGCCATCGATGCTCATCGCTTGATGGATCTCAAGAGCGCTGATGCGTGCGACGAGCTACTCAACCATAGCAGCGCTGACGGATGTCACCGCTGATGGCCCATAGAGTCTGCATTAGCTTTTCCTTCAAGAGCTATAGTGATGCAGACTTGTAATAGGTATTTATAATGGATGAGTTAGTAAAGAGTTGTTCTACGAAGAACAGAAGCTTGGCATGCATTATAGTCCAACCTGTCAAACTCATATGCTATAGTCTGTGTAGGCTGTAGTGGGGTAGACAATATGGGGTACAACACTTTTAGGTTTTCCTACTTGTACCCACCTGCTTGCTAGTTCATCTCATTCCCTCAATTCTCGCATGGTATAGAGCAGGTTCCCTAGTGGGAACTTCCTAGGGCCCACCATTGGAAATCGATTATATTTTTTTCCTACCCTGAGATCGAGTCGCCCCTGACCGAGGCGCGCCCAGTGTGCCGCCCTCCCCTTAGCGACCCGTCGCGCCGCCCTTAGCGGCCCCCTCTCTCACGGCCCCTCGCGACCCCGTCGCCGCCCCCTAGGGGCCCGTCGCGCCGCCCTGAACGGCCCGTCGCGCCGCCCTCAGCGGCCCCCTTGCGGCCCCACCTCCACGGCCCCGTCGCCGCCCTATCGCGGCCCCGTCGCCTCCCTCTCGCGGCCCCGTCGCCGCCGTTCGCGGCCCCGCCGCCACCCTTAGCGGCCGCGTCGCCACCCGTCGCGGCCCTGCAGCCGCTCCTCACGGCCTCGTCGCCGCCCTCTCATGGCCGCGTCGCCGCCCTTCTAGCGGCCCCAGTGCCTGCCCTCTTGCGGCCTCGTCGCCACCCTCTCGCAGCCCCGTCGCCGCCCTCCTGCGGCCTCGTCGCCGCCCTCTCGCGGCCCCGTCGCCGCCCTCTTGCGGCCTTGTCGCCGCCCTCTCGCGGCCCCGTCACCGCCCTCTTGCGGCCCTGTCGCCGCCCTCTTGCGGCCACGTCCCCGCCCTCTTGCGGCCCCGTCGCCGTCCCGGCCCCTTCACCGCCGAGCTGCCAAGCAGCTGAGCCGCCGAACCGCCAAGCAGCCGAGCCGCTGAGCCGCCGAGCTGCCGAGTCGCCTGCAGCCAAGCCGCCGAGCCGCCGAGCAGCCGAGCCGCCAAGGCCGTCGTCGAGCCGCCACTGCCTCTGTCGAGCCGCTGCCACCACTGTTGCAGCCCTGTTTCTGCCGACGCGCCCCGGCCCAACCCACCCGGACTAGTGAGAGCACTCCTTGAAAGACCACTGCTCTCATGGCTACCCCCAGTGTCCTTACCTTTGATGCTGAGGGTCGGGCTGTTGACTTCGAGGTCTAGGTCAATGACTTGCAGCTTTTCCTACAGTGCGATAGGGCAGACGGGCTCTACCTGTTCGATCTCACCTCTGGTGCCTCTCCAGCCCCGCCTTCTGATGCCGACAGCACTGTTCGCTCACAGTGGGCCACGCGCGATGCTGCTGCCCGTCTTGGTGTGCGTCGCCACTTACCGACCGCTATGCGTGCATACTTTAGTCAGTACAAGAGTGCTAAGACCTTGTACGACGCTGTAGTTGCACGCTACTCTTCCCCTGCCACTGCTGCTCTTAGCCGCCTCATACTGCCGTACATGTTTCCTAACCTCGCCGCCTTTCCCACTTGGGCTGACCTCGTTACGCACCTTCGCACTAGTGACACCCGCTACCGCGCTGCGCTTCCTGCTAAGTTCTGCGCCAAGAAACCCCCCCCCCCCCCCCATGTACATCACCCTCTTCTACATAGTCACCCGGCTCCTTGACTCCCTTCGCTCGGTCAGGGACCACTTCCTCTCTGTTTCCCCCACCACACGCACCGTTGACCTCCTCGAGGAGCGCCTCCTGGCAGCTGAGAAGAGTATAGTCGCTGTAGGAGCCTCTAGAGGTGACGCGCGTGCCCCTGTCTTTGAGGGGTGCTCCCCCTCCACCCTTTTGCCCTCTATTGCCTCTACTATTGCCGTCGTCTTCGTTGGCACCGAGACGATCGGCGCTGCATCTGCCTCTAGCGGGCGACGCCACACCGGTAAGGGCAAGGGGGGCAAGGGCGCTGGAGGGAATTGCGAGGGCGGTGGAGGTGGAGGAGGTGGAGGAAGTGGGGGTGGTGGTGGGAGTGGTGGCGGGGTTGGGGGCTTTGTTGGCGGCGGTGGCGGCGGCGACGGTGGCGGTGGGAGCGGAGGAAGAAGCGGTGGCGGCAGTGGCAGAGGTGGCGGCGGAGGAGGTGGAACTAGTCGGGGTGGCTCTGCGCAGCGGGGCAGCTTAGGTGGTGGTCAGCGCCAGCAGCAGCAGCGCACTCGTGAGACCCTGTCCCCCCAGCAGCTTCGTGAGTGGTACGTTGGGCGTCAGCGAAGTGGGGGTACTGGTCCTTGTACCTACGTCCTCCGTACCGGTGACCGCACTGGTGAGCAGTGCGGGGGCTCGCACTCCACCCAGCGCTGCTTCGGCCGCCTGACGGACGCTTGACGTCACCAGTTCCCTGACGCCACTGAGATCCCTCGCTAGGGAGAGCTGTCTAGGGCGGGGGTTGCAACCTTTGATCTTGACTGTGATGCTATTCTTGCTGTCAGATATGCTATGTCTACTAGTGATGAGGGTGAGTGTTACCTGTGTGTTCCGCCTGACCCGGGCATTGAGGCTGCTGCTCTAGGTGCTGGTGAGGCTGCTGCTCTAGGTGCTAGTGCGTCTGCTGCCCCAGGTGCTGGTGAGTCTTCTCTTTCAGGTACCACGTCGGCTCAGGCCTTACACACCTTCACCCTTGACTCCGGTGCTTCCCGCTCCTTCTTTCGAGACCGCACCACACTTACGCCGCTTAGTCGGCTTGTTGCGGTCTTCTTGGCGGACCCCTCTGGGGGTCCTGTCCTCGCTCGCTTCTCCACTGTCTTACCGTGTTCGGCACCCCCCTCTGGCACCCTGTCAGGTCTCTACCTCCCCTCGTTCTCTACGAACTTGGTGAGTGGTGCTGATCTACAGGATGGGGGGGTTGACTAGTTCACTCCTGCGAGTCAGCGGGTGACCCACTGTACGTGTGCTCGGACGGGCCGACACTTGGCCACGTTTACCCGTCGGCCGGGGTCGAGCCTGTACACACCGACTACTGAGTCTCCTCCGGTTGCTGAGTCTGGTCAGGTAGCTGCGTTGAGTCAGGTGTTTGCTGCAGCGTCCAGGTCTGGTCCTGAGTCTGATCCATGCTCGTGTCGTCTCCTGTCCCACCAGACTCTCCTTTGGCACTGTTAGATGCACGTCATTCTAAGTGCATGTCATCCTAACGTCGTGCCGAGTGCTCGTGCTATTTGTGCTTGCATGATTTGCATGAGCGTATGTCATTGTGCATGGCTGTTGGATATTATCATCTCTATGTTTTTTCTCCAAGTCTAAATGCTTGATCATGCAGGAGAAATCCAGAGCTTTCCAACGATACCAAGATCGCCTTATTCCGACCAAGATCGCCCAAGTGACAAGATTTCCAAGACTTGGATTTCTTATTACCTTTTGGGGATATATCTAATTTGGGTGATTACTTGGGACATGACTATAAAGGGATCTTTGGTTGGGTGGTTAGGGAAGGCAACTTTGACTTTTGGATTGGGGTGGCTAGAAGTTTCTAGCATGGGTTGCAAATGTTGCAACACCTAGGCAAAATCCAACTAGATTGGATTTTGCATGTGACACCTCAAGGACCTCATGATGATGGTTGCATCCTTGCTGCTATAAAGGTTCCTACCATCCTTCCCTAGCTCTTGAAGAACCCCTTCCCTCTCATGGTTCTCTTGGAGGTTCCCAACTCCAACTTTCTATGTCTACATGTGTGTACTTCCTCTACCATTCTAGTTATGCAACTGCTGGACGAGTTTTTACATGGTTCTCACTCTCTAGACCATCTTAACGACTGATTCAACTTGGAGATGGTAGCTAAGCCTAAGGCGCACAATCCTACCGAGCGGATTTGCGTTTCATTGAGTAATGAGTTCGTCGTAATTTCTCAAAATGACAGATCCTGAACAACAAGTGGTATCAGAGCGGGTAGTCGATTTCGAGACGACGAATCGTCGTCAATTCTTAACCAATGATGTCAAGTGAGACCGTTTTTTAGTCGCTCTGCTCGCGAACGTTCGATTGGTGGTCACACCACGTTCTAATTCAAAGTATTCAGTCCGCAACGGCGTTTTTTGTAGAATCAAAATTTCTGGCAGAATTCTCTCCAAACGATTTCTCAAGTTTCCACCGTTCATAAGGCCTCAATATGGTTGGTACGAACTCCGGAGGTGCTAGTGGCGAGATGGATAGAAGTAGAGAGGCTGGAGAGCAGGGGGGAGTTGCTGGTGGAGGAGTGGGGACTCACCAACCCGCCAACCCTACGCTACCTACGTCTACTACACCATCTCCAACAACCGTGGATCCCGTGAAGGCGTTCTCTATTGAGAAATTCATGGGGGAGGACTACGAGCACTGGAGCTTCCGCATGAGGCTGATGTACACCCAATACAAGCTATTCGATCTGGTGGAGGGGAAGGAGAAGATGCCGGAGGCCGCGGGGCTGAAAGGAGCGTGGATGAAGCGATCGTTCGATGCGTACATGCTCAAGGTGCAAGCGGTTGGAAGATGACAACTTGACCACATCAAGGACCTCTTGGGTGATCCAGAGTGTGGCCCCAAGGCTTGGAGGAAGCTTCTGGATGTGCACTCACCGACACATGCTACCGGCATCGTGCTACTCGCGCGGCGGCTGCGCGACATCAAGTTCGTTGATGGAGAGCCGATGCAACCGGTGTTGGATGAGATGCAGGACATCTTCACGAAGCTCCAAGGAGGCGGTGTGGTGTACCCGAAGCTCGTGCAATGCGTGGAGATCGTGATACGGCTGCCGGAGTCGTGGTCTGCCCTAGCGATCAACCTCAACTCCCAACAACCCCAATGGAGCGTGGATTACATTCGCGCGCGCATCCTAGAGGAAGACCTGCGGCGGCGGAGTGTAGAGCGCTCGGAGGAGGGGGCTGGCTATGGAGTTGGAGGTGGAGAGAGTGGCTTCAAGAAGAAGTGGAAGGGCAAAAACAAGGACAACCCTAAGGAGGATGGCGGCGGGGGTCAAGGGGAGGTATGCTTCTACTGCAAGAAGCGCGGACATCGTTAGCGGAAGTGCTACCAACGAACCAAGGATTGGACCCCGCCTTCATTAAGCAACCTGCATGGTGGCAAGAGGAGTGGGGGAGTCATGGGAGCAAGTTGAGAGGAGAAGGAGGAGGAGAAAGGTGGCAAATCTGAGGAGCGGAAGGCCGGGTTCTTCTTTTTCGTGAACGAAGGCGCAACCGACCTCGCTATGGCTGCCAAGGTTCTCCTACACCCCCTCACCCATTGGGTGATTGACTCGGGAAGCTCCTGGCACATGACTCATCGTGCAGACCTACTCGATGAGATTCAGCCCGCACCTATCTCTACAGTCACATCCGCGACGGGCGCCAAGGCCAAGGTCATGGGCATGGGATGCGCCAAGTTCATGGGAGCGGATGGAGAGCTCGTGGGGCTGAAGAATGTGCTGTGGGTGCCGGACTTGTGCGCAAACCTGATTTCTACCGGCCGGTTGGGAGATGCGGGTGTGAACACCGAGACGATTGGCTCGGAGCGCTATCGTGCTTACAACGATGAGCGCCTCATTTGGGACCTACAGTGGAAGGGAGATGTCCACAAGCGGATGTGGCAGATCCCGGTCCTCCCTTGGCGGAAATCGGGCAAGGCGGCAGCGGCGGCATCTATGGAGGAGAGTGTCACCGAGGAGGAGCAGCAAGGTGTGCAAGGAGAGGAGTTAATTGGAGGAAGCGCGGCGGTGAAGGCGTCGGCTACCTCGGGCCAAGCGGATTGGGAGACTTGGCATCAGCGGCTCGCACACGTGGCTGTTTCAACACTGGAGGTGATGCATAAGGAGAAGTGCGTGCATGGGCTGCAACTGCAAGGAGATGGCACTCACTATGGCAGCTGCGAGGCGTGCATGCAAAACAAGTTTGCGGGGTTCCTGTTTCCACGTGCGGAGGGATCAGCGAAGGCGCCGCTGGAGGTGGTGCACATGGACCTGGTAGGTCCTATGAGGACTGAGGGGACTGGGGGAGTGCTGTACTTCCTTACCATGGTGGACGAATGGAGCCGTTTCACGTGGGCGCGTCCCTTGTCCAAGAAGAGCGATGCTGCATGGGCGATCAAGGAGGATTGGTTGCCGATGGTGGAGCGGCAAGCGATGCGGCTGGTGAAGGTGCTGAGGAGCGACCGAGGTGGAGAGTTCCTTGGAGTGGAATTCACCAAGTTCCTCAAGAGAAATGGCATCCGGCATCAGCTGACCTGCCCTGGAACACCGCAGCAGAACGGCATTGCTGAGCGTGCCAACCGGACCATTGGCGAGGCGGCTAAGACCTTGTTGGGGGCTGCTGGGATGCCCTACAAGTTCTGGCCTGATGCCGTTCGTCATGTCATCACGGTCAAGAACAGGGTCTTGACTCATGTTGGCGACAAGCATTGGGTGCCGTACGAGCGTTGGCTTGGGAAGAAGCCATCCATTGACATGCTGCGGGTATGGGGCTGCATGGGGCTTGTGATGGTGCCTAAGGAGCAGAGGCACAAGCTGGAAGTTGCTGCTGTGTGGGCTGTCCATCTTGGGATGGCTCCTGACTCGAAGGGGTGGCTGATGTGGGACCCCAAGAGCAAGAGGACGCTCATCAGTCATGACGTCAAGTTTGTGGAGGACGTCATGTACAAGGATTGGCAGTAGCAGCAACAGGTGCAGATTGGCTTGCGTTTGCAGGAGATTGAGCGGTCTGTAGTGGAGGAGGTTCAGCTGCACCTTGAGGATCTCCCTGGGTCAGAGCTGACCAGTGACCACAGTGGCGGTGGTGAGCAGCAAGTTTCTGGTCCTGCTGCGGAGGAGGGGTTGGAGGATGAGTCGGCACGTGTGAACTCACCATCTCAGCCCGAGCCTGCAACAAACGCCAAGGTCACCAAGAGGAGTGTGCAGAGAGGAGCTTCACCACAAGGGCAGCATATTGCAACCCGCGAGAAGAGAGTGGCAGCAGCACCCTCAAGGCTGAAGTATAGCCGTTTGGGAGGACCCAAGCAAGGTGCCATGGCGGTTCAGGCGGATGAGGGAGAGGATGAGGAGATGGCGTTCTGTTTCTTCACACCCTTGCCTGGAGAACCAGCCACAATGGAGGAGGCACTGAGTGGACCCCAGAAGGAGGAATGGAAGGCTGCCATGGATGCGGAGTTCAACAGTCTCATTGAGAATAGGACTTGGGAGCTTGTTGAGTTACCCGAGGGGCGACGGCCGATCAGCAGCAAGTGGGTCTTCAAGGTGAAGAGTGGAGCTGATGGTGCGTTGGAGCGGTTCAAGAGCCGCTTGGTCGCCAAGGGGTTTCAGCAGAAAGAGAAGGTCGACTTTGGAGAGATCTTCGCTCCCGTTGCTAAGCCATTAACACTGAGGACTTTGATGGCTGGCGCAGCTGTGAAGGGATGGCACGTGAAGCAGTTGGATATCACCACTGCGTTCCTCAATGGAATACTCCTGGAGGATATCTACATGGCGCAGCCCGACGGCTATGAGGATGGGACCAGCCGGGTGTGTAAGCTTAAGAAGGCCATCTATGGCCTTAAGCAAGCGCCCAGGTGTTGGTACGAGAAGCTGGAGGAGGTGCTGCTGAGTGGAGGCTTCAAGACATCCCACGCGGATCACAGTTTGTTTCTGCTTGGAGAGGGGGAGCAGCTGCTCTTGCTGCTGGTGTATGTCGATGACATAATGCTGTTCTCACCCTCCATGGAGCAGATTGAGAGGACACAGAAGCTGTTGATGGACAACTTCAAGTGCAAGATGCTGGGGGATGTCCACTACTACTTGGGGCTGCAGATTGAGAGGGAAGTTGAGAAGAGGTGGCTGAAGATGCATCAGTCACACTACATCTCTGGTGTCATGGAGCGCTATGGTGTGACTGGGGGTCGCACTGTGATGACACCGT